TCGACGCGCCGCGCGTGCCGCTGGTCCGCGGCGTCGGCCCGTGCGTCTTCGTCACGCGCTCGCCGTGCGTGCTTCCCACCGACGGCCGGGTCGTGCCCGTGGTGACGGCGCGGCCGGGCGGCATGTCGGCGGAGGCGTGGGCGGCGCTCAGTGAGCGCGCGTTCGGCGAGGTTGTCTTCTCGAACGAGGGCCGCCAGGCGCTGCCCGAGGCCATCTCGAGCGGCGACCTCGACGGCGAAGATCGCCCGAGACTCTGTGCCGAGAGGACCCACATTCCGACGCGTCCCCCGAGACAGCGAGGTTGACCGAGGTTGACCGAGATTGGCCGGAGTTCGCCCCGACGCGTCCCCGACACCCGTCAGGCGACCTGTACTTTGTGAGCTGGGACGCGCGCCTCGTGGAGAGCATCGCACCGGGCGGAGACGCGCCGCTCCCCGACGCGGCGCCGGCGGCGAAGGCGGAGCCGGCGCAACCCGAGGTGGCGGCGGAGGAGTCGTCTCTGCGCTTGGGCGACGACTGGCTGGCGCTGGCGCAGGAGCACATGACGGACGCGGCCACGCTGCGCGAGGGGTGCGCCGTCGGCAAGCTGTACCGCGCGGGCGAGCGGAAGGCGAAGGAGTCGCCCCGCGGGCTCGACGATCCGGACGCGATCGCATGCTTCGCCGCCTACCGGCAGGCCATCGATCACGGAAAGCATGGCGCGGGCGTCGAGCTGCCAGAGCACTTGCGCAAGGAGCTGAAGCTCTGAAATCGAGAGAGAGGCCGAGTGCCGTGAGCCGTGTAGCTCAGAAAAAAGGAAGTACGCCGCGCGAGGAGAATATCGGCATCTTTCTTTTTCTGCTAACTAAATACATACGAATAAATCCGCGGACACGCCAAACGAAGAGAAGAAGAGGCAAGAGCCCAAACGAGGCACGAGGGGCGGTGGCGGGTGGGAGAAGGATAAAAAATTCTTAGTGCTGTGGAGGGATCAGAGTGGTCTGACCGTTCTTGCACATCTTGGCCGAGGCCCTCCGTAGTATCGCGAGACGTCTCTCTTCCCTCGTTTGCAAAGGGATCGGCATCTGAACCCGAAGGGCGAAGGTCGGTGACTGTTCAGCAAGTGGTGTAGTGGTGGTGGATCGTGTGCGCGGTCCTGTAGGTTTGTCGCGGGTGATGGAGCACCATCCGCAGGGCGGGCCTCCTCCTCCGAGGAGTGTAGGTTTATAAGGTTCATTCAGCACGTATAACTCGTACCAGTTTGGGGTGAAGGTGCGGCGCAGTGAAGCAGTTGGGGAACTATTACGTGCCAATATTTGGGCGCCTATTCGGCCTCCCGGCAACCCGTGTCCCGTGACGAAAAACGACCAACGCACCGGGCGCCTGCCCGAGAACGCGAGTTTGAAACCGTAGGAGGCATCTAGAGCAAAATTTAGCCCGCTCAGATGTAGAAAAAATATTCAACCTGCCGATTTCGAACCGGAGGCCACTCGATCGACGAGGGGTCACCGGCCGACGTCAGCAGATAGATGTTAGTCCGACCGGGAAGCGTTCGAGCGGCGGCCCATACCCGTAGCACATGCACGTGCACATGTGCATGCACATATGCATGTTCATGTGTAGTGTAAGAGGGAGTTTTGTGGAGGACTTGGAGTGCGGTCATTAATTGCACGCCCAGGGTTGGGGAAGTAAGAAGCGCACCCAGCGGCCGTAAAAAAAGAAAGAAAGAAAACAGCCAACCCAAGGGAGGGATGGGAGGACGGCACGCCGCCACCACACAGGGATTTTATGGAGAGGGGTGTGATGCGCTAGCCGTCGCCCACCCTTTCACTGCTTTAACACCACAGCCTCGCGTTCTCCATCTCGTGCTTGCGCAGCTCCGCCTATCATCACCCCACCATGGGCGTCCGCCTCTTCCTATCTCCCTTCGCAGTCTCTCGCCGATTCTCGCTGCAACCTTCATGCCACCTCGCGGTCGTCCCACTCTCGTCGTTCTCTCTTTTGTCGCCTCTTCCTCTGTCGGTGTCGCGACTCGCGTCGCTCTCCTCTGCCTCGTTCTGCGACGGCGCTGCCGCCTGCCGCTCCCTTGCCCTCGCGGCTTCTCCCGCCTCTCGTCGCAGCTCTGCCCTCCTCGCGGCATATTTTGGCCCCCCTTCGGGTGCATCGACCATCGTGACAGCTGACGACGAGATTACCACTGTGTGTCGTCCTCCTCGGAGTCCTCTTCCCCGGCTTCCCCCCGTTTGGCTCTAAGTTCATTTCG